CGGCCTACCCGAAGGCGCCTGTGAGTGGGCAGACCCGCCCGTCACCCGTGTGCAGCTCGGCGGCCTACCCGAAGGCGGTGACCTGGTGCCATTCGAGCAGACCGCCAGACAGCGAGACGAGCGGGAATTCACCGACATCCACACTTTTCAAGGCGCAGGGTATGGGGAAGATGGGAAGAACTGTCACTGTCAGGACTTCCCTGTGAGCGTCAGCTTCGGGCGTCAACGCCGACTATGGCCGCAAAAGGTGGCGGGAATACCGACGTCGGTTGCTTGCTAAAACGGATTACGATCAAAAATCGACTACGTACGTATCCATAGCGCCTGAACGTGATGCAACCGGCGCGGCACCGTTCGGCGACACAAAAACATTGCTGACTCGAATTTACAGTGCGTCGCCGTCGTCGAGCAGTCGACGTGTTGGCCTCAAAAATATGTCACGACAAGCTTATTAAAACCGCCGAGCTCCTGGATGCTTCAAGTAGTGCCAATAACTCACACGTTTATTATCTCCTACAAAAGAACGACCGCACACGCTTCCACGTCCACTACGAACAACCTAGCTCATAAGCACGCTTCTGAATGAGTAAGAGAGAGGGAGAGAGAGAAAAAAAAATAAGGCGGAAAAAAGAGACGCAGTAGTTTGGTTCGAGTTTGTTGTTTCGCTTCGCCTGCATTGTGGCGTGTCACGGCAATACACCCCGCCAATCAGCCGAACACCGAGGCGCCGTGCCCGACTCATGGGTCGGCACGCTCTCCCCCTCCCTCCCCCCCCTTCCCTCCCTCTTTAAATTTCTCTCTCCGAGGAGCGTCGTCGGCGCGGTAATTCCCCGTCGTTGACTGACCGCCCGAGAGGATGGGACGGGAATGCCTCATCTCAAAACTGTCACTTACTACCGTCGCCTTAAAAGTCAGGCGTAAAACAGGAAGGGGTGGAGGAGGGAAGGGGAGAGAGGTTTTCATCAGTTGGAAATAATGTACGACCAGCCAACCGCTGAAACAGCGGACCTAACAAACTTGAGTACAACGTGGGGGCGAATCATCGTCGATTTACAGGTGGAAACAGAAACTGCAGTTATGCGATCAAATAAAAATACCTGCAACTACAGTGCCTATAATTATGTGCAATACCCCGCACGACACCCTTGACAGCAGCAGCGAGTTTGCGGTGTGGGTGTGTAGGGGTCCCTGCTTTTTTCCTGGAACACGGCAGGGAGATCCCCGCCCGGGCAGATGCGGCAGAGGAAAGAGGCGGCCTATGGCTGTGCAAATTAAGTCAGTGCACGCAGTGTGGCGTGGCCCGGCGCGGCGCGGCGCGAGGCTCAGGAGCAGGAGAGACCC